TGGCCGTCCCCTGGGCAACATCCTTGCAGATGGCCAATTCTCTAACACCAGAAGTGACTTGCAGTTTCTCGAGTCGCTCCTGTCACAAAAAAAACCAACAACCTAGGAGTTGTTTGTAAGTTGGATGTTTGCAGCTTGGGGACTTCCTGTACAGTGTAGAAATGCAGTTAAACCAGGAATGGCAAACTTTAGGCCTCCGGGTGTTTTGGACTTTAAATATATATACCTATATAAATAAAAATGTAATGTTCGTTTGTGGGATTAACAGAACTCAAAAACCAGTGGGCCAATTGACACCAAATTTGGATAGCATACACCTAACAATCCAATGTATGTCCTTCACTAAAAAAATTGATTTTGTCATTTGGGAGTTGTAGTTCCTGGGATTTATAGTTCACCTACAATCAAAGAGCATTCTGAACTCCACCAATGATGGAACTGAACCAAATGTGGCACACAGGACTCCCATGACCAACAGAAAACACTAGATGGGTTTGGTGGGCATTGACCTTGAGTTTGGGAGTTGTAGTTCACCTACATCCAAAGAGCACTGTGGACTCAAACAATGATGGATCTGGACCAAACTTGGCACAAATATTCCATATGCCCAAATATGAACACAGATCAAGTTTGGGGGAAATAGATCTTGACATTTGGGAGTTGTAGTTACTGGGATTTATAGTTCACCTACAATCAAAGAACATTCTGAATTCGGGTAAATCATAAATATAGATAGATAGATATGATTCACACACAGAGAGAGATAGATTTGAAAGGGACCCCTGAAGGACTATGATATGTTGCATGTTCCAGAGTAGGCAAACCAGACAATCTCCACATAAACACTGGCAAAGAAACAGCAAGAAATAGTGTTTATCCACAAGCATAAAGAAATTACATATATTAGAAACCAACACTTTCTTGTTACTTTATTTTCCAGATCACCAGGCTGGGCCACAGCAAAGCCTTGCAGGGGATGGCTAGTATGTATATATATATATACACAAATATAATAAATACAGACAGTACACATACCACACATATGACGCACAATAAAATATATAAGACAACCCTCTTGTCCACATCCTGCACCCACCACCTTGATTTCCACCCCTAGTCACTATGATGCCTATAGCAATTCTTATTTACCCTTCTAATGGGTTTAGCCATTAATTCCTATTGAGACTGTATACAATTCACTTCTTTGACTCTTCCAGATATGCCATGGCCTGTTTCCATCTCCTTAAGAATTCATTGCTTTTACCCACCAAATTGTTGGATAGCTTGTCCATTTGCATATAGTCAATTAATTTATCTCTCCAATCCAGGGTTTCTCAACCTGGGGGTCGGGACCCCTGAGGGGGTCGCGAGGGGGTGTCAGAGGGGTCGCCGAAGACCATAAGAAAACAGTATTTTCTGATGGCCATGGGGATTCCATGTGGGAAGTTTGACCCAATTCTATCGTTGGTGGAGTTCAGAATGTTCTTTGATTGTAATGAACTATAAATCCCAGCAACTACAACTCCCAAATGTCAAGATCTATTTTCCCCAGACTCCACCAGTGTTCACATTTGGGCATATTGAATATTCGTGCTAAGTTTGGTCCAGATCCACCATGGCATGAGTTCACAGTGCTCTCTGGATATAGGTGAACTACAACTCCCAAACTCAAGGTCAATGCCCATCAAACCCTTCCAGTGTTTTCCATTGGGCATGGGAGCCAAGTGGTTCAAATCCATCGCTGGTGGGAGTTCAGAATGCTCTTTGATTATCAGTGAACTATAAATCCCAACAACTACAACTCCCAAATTACAAAATCAATCCTCCCCCAACCCCACTAGCATTCACATTTGGGTGTATTGGGTATTTGTGCCCAGTTTGGTCCAGTGAATGAAAATGCATCCTGCATATCAGATATTTACATTATGATTTATAACAGTAGTAAAATGACTGTTACGAAGTAGCAACGAAAACAATATTATGGTTGGGGGTCACCACAACATGAGGAACTGGATTCAGGGGTCACGGCATTAGGAAGGTTGAGAAACACTGCTCCAATCCTTTATAGTTAGCACTTTTTCCAATTTCTAGTAATTACCATTCTTGATGCCGCAAATATACCTTGGCATATTTCAATATCATCTCTGGATCCTTCCACGCAGCCATATAACACAGAATATAAAGGCAGAAAGTCCCACCATATTTGCTTTGAACTGGGGCCCCGTCCACACAGCTGAATAAAATCCCACATTTTCTGCTTTGGACCGGAATATATGGCAGTTTGAATACAGATAACACAGTTCAAAGCAGATATTGTGGGATTTTTCTGCCTTGACATTCTGGGTTATACGGCTGTGTGGAAGGGCCCTAGGCTACCTGAGGGCTCTTCCACACAGTCCTATATGCCAGAATATCAAGGCAGAAAATCCCACAATATCTGCTTTGAACTGGGTTATCTGAGTGTCGACACTCAGATAATGTGGGATTTTCTGCCTTGATATTCCGGGATATAGGGTTGTGTGGAAGGGCTCTCAGATAACCCAGGGCTCTTCCACACAGCCATATAACCCAGAATATCAAGGCAGAAAATCCCAAAATATCTGCTTTGAACTGGGTTATTCGAGTCCACACTGCCATATATTCCAGTTCAAAGCAGAAAATGTAGAAAATTTTATTCAGCTGTGCGGAAGAGATTCTTGGTGCGTTCCCTAAATAAGCCCAGCAGACCTATCCCTAGATTTTTTTAAACCTTATTGCTCAACATTTCGTTTGTTTCCTTTATTATGCTGTTCCAAAATCCTTGAACACACTCACAGGACAACCACGTGTGAAATAAACTTCCTTTTTGCTTTTTTACATCTCCCAACGCCTGTCTGCCTGAGATTTTACTATTTTTTGCAAGTTGGCTGGTGTTGTATAACGTCTTTCAAACATTTTATATACATTTCCTCTATTGTAATATTGAATTCTATCTTCCAGAGACATTCCCAAGTTTCTAGATCTATAATTTTCCCTAAATCCCATGTCCAAGAAATCTATTATCTTCTAGGCCAGGCATAGGGCAGAGTTGGGCCCTCCAGGTGCTGTGGACTTCAACTCCCACCATTCCTCACATCCTCAGGACCTCCAGGTGTTGTGGACTTCAACTCCCACCACTCCTCACATCCTCAGGCCCTCCAGGTGCTTTGGACTTCAATTCCTAACAGCCCCAGGCCCTCCAGGTACTTTGGACTTCAACTTGCACCATTCCTGACATCCTCAGGCCCTTCAGGTGCTTTGGACTTCAACCCCCACCATTCCTCACAGCCTCAGGCCCTCAGGTGTTTTGGACTTCAACTCCCACCATTCCTCACAGCCTCTGGCCCTCCAGGTGTTGTGGACTTCAACTCCCGCCATTCCTCATAGCCTCAGGTATTTTGGACTTCAACTCCCACCATTCCTCACATCCTCAGGATCTCAGGTGTTTTGGACTTCAGCTCCCACCATTCCTCACAGCCTCAGGCCCTCCAGGCGTTTTGGACTTCAACTCCCACCATTCCTTACAACCTCAGGACCTCAGGTGTTGTGGACTTCAACCCCCACCATTCCTCACAGCCTCAGGACCTCCAGGTGTTTTGGACTTCAATTCCCACCATTCCTCACAGCCTCAGGTGTTTTGGACTTCAACTCCCACCATTCCTAACAGCCTCAGGCCCTCCAGGTGCTTTGGACGTCAACTCCCACCATTCCTCACAGTCCCAAGTCCTCCAGGTGTTGTGGACTTCAACTCCCACCATTCCTTACAACCTCAGGACCTCAGGTGTTGTGGACTTCAACCCCCACCATTCCTCACAGCCTCAGGACCTCCAGGTGTTTTGGACTTCAATTCCCACCATTCCTCACAGCCTCAGGTGTTTTGGACTTCAACTCCCACCATTCCTAACAGCCTCAGGCCCTCCAGGTGCTTTGGACTTCAACTCCCACCATTCCTCACAGTCCCAAGTCCTCCAGGTGTTGTGGACTTCAACTCCCACCATTCCTTACAACCTCAGGACCTCAGGTGTTGTGGACTTCAACTCCCACTATTCCTCACAGCCTCAGGTGTTTTGGACTTCAACTCTCACCATTCCTCACAGCCTCAGGACCTCCAGGTGTTTTGGACTTCAATTCCCACCATTCCTCGCAACCTCAGGTGTTTTGGACTTTCTGAAGTGGGTCGAACTCAGGCCAGAATTAGAAAGTATAGGATTAATTTCAAGACGATGCAAATATATATAACCTAAGCTATAACCTAGGCCAGGCATGGGCAGAGTTGGGCCCTCCAGGTGTTTTGGACTTCAACTCCCACCATTCCTGACAGCCTCAGGCCCTCCAGGTGTTTTGGACTTCAACTCCCACCATTCCTCACAGCCTCAGGCATTGTGGACTTCAACTCCCACCATTCCTCACATCCTCAATCCCTCCTGGTGCTTTGGACTTCAACTTCCAACATTCCTGACAGCCTCAGGCCCTCCAGGTGTTTTGGACTTCAACTCCCACCATTCCAAAACACCCGGAGTGGAAAAGAAGGGTCCTGGGTCTGTAGGAATGGTGTGAGTTGAAGTCCAAAACACCTGGAGGGCCCAACTCTGCCCATGCCTGGCCTAGGTTATAGCTTAGGTTATATATATTTGCATCGTCTGGAAATTAATCCTATACTTTCTAATTCTGGCCTGAGTTCGACCCACTTCAGAAATGGCATCGTTGCTCCAGGGAACTGCTGCTTCCTGACAGAAAAGGTGAAGGATCTTGTCGAGCTACAACTCCCACTTGAGCCCGTGTGTGTCTCTTTTAAAGAGACAGTGCCCCAAAAAGAGAGAGAGAGGCAGGACTGTTATGATCACGATCACGCTCACTCCCGCGCTGCTGAAGGCGCAAGAGGAAAGGCGAGGAGAGAGGCGGGTGCCCGCCCCACGCGCCGCGCTGCTTCCTCGGGCACGCGCTCCGAGGCTGTCCCCTCGTGTTGGGGGCTTTCTCCTTACCTGGGCCGGCGGGAAGGGTCCCTCGGCGTCGACTCCGGCCTGGCTCGGCCCCGGCTCCAGCCACAGCCCTTCCTGCCTCGGCCTTGCGCCTCCCTCCCCGCCAGGCCCGCCTCTTTCTTTCTGTCTTTCCCTCCCTCAGGCGCCCAGGCCACCGCCTCCTCCTCCTCCTCCTCCTCCTCTGCTGCCTCTTCTTCTTCTTCTTCCCTCATTGGTCCGTCCCCCTCGCAGACTTCTCCGCTCTGGGCTGAGGCGCCAAACAACAACAACAACAACAACAACAAGAAGGCAGGAATTCCTCTCTCTCCCTTCGCTGTCTCTTTATAGGTTCCATGTTTAATAGCACTATGGTTTTATTATGTTTACTAGCCGTCCCCTGCCACGCGTTGCTGTGGCCCAGTCTGGTGATCTGGAAAAAAAAAAGTAATGAGAAAGTGTTGACTGTATTGTCGAAGGCTTTCATGGCCGGAATCACTGGGTTGTTGTCGTTTTTTCGGGCTATATGGCCATGGTCTTGAGGCATTCTCTCCTGACGTTTCGCCTGCATCCAGGCCTGTAGCGAGGGGGTGGTTTTAGGGGTTCAACCCCCCCCCCGAAATGTTTCAGATTTTTTAAAAAAAAAACCTGGTTTACTCATGAATTTTAACTGGTTAACCAAATCCCCATGCTAAGTCTATGAGATGCAAGAAATTAAGAGTCCCTCCAGAACTGCAAGCACTATCTCAAGCAAATATTGACAATTTATTCACACTGTCATTACTTGCAGCAATAGCTGATGTAGTGAAGCAACCAAGTTGGGGTGTGTGTGTGTTGAATGCTCTCATTAAGGAGGCCAGACTTGGTGGAGGTAGTTGACAGGGGCGGAGCTGCAGGCTATTGAAGGCTGCTCTGCCCCCTGCTGTGCTCTTTGCTTCAGCGTGAGCTAGGAGGCAGGTTTCAACCCCCCCCCGAAATTTTCAACCCTCCCCGAAATTTTCAACCCCCCCCCTGAAATTTTCAACCCCCCCCCTGAAATTGTTAACCCTCCCCGAAATTTTTTTCTGGCTACGGCCCTGCCTGCATCTATGGCAAGCATCCTCAGAGGTAGTGAGGTCTGTTGGAATTAGAAAAAAGGGTTTATATATCTGTGGAATGACCAGGGTGGGACAAAGGACTCTTGTCTGCTGGAGCTAGGTGTGAATGTTTCAACTGACCACCTTGATTAGCATATAATGGCCTGACAGTGCCTAGAGCAAACTTTTGTTGAGAGGTGATTAGTAGGCTTGGATGGTTTCGTTCGTTAATTTCGTAATTCATTATTAATTCGTATTTAAATTAGCTTACGATCCAATATTGAGCCATGCAGGACTACTGTGAGGAGTAATTAAAAATCAAAACAATTTTTCCAATTTATTTCGTATTAGGTTCTTGTGGGTTTTTTCGGGCTATAGAGCCATGTTCTAGAGCAGGGGTCCTCAAACTAAGGCCCGGGGGCCGGATGCGGCCCCCCAAGGTCATTTACCCAGCCCTCGCTCAGGGTCAACCTAAGTCTGAAATGACTTGAAAGCACACAACAATAACAACAGTCCTATCTCATCAGCCAAAAGGAGACCCACACTTCCCATTGAAATACTAATAATTTTATGTTTGTTGAAATTGTTCTTCATTTTAATTATTGTATTGTTTTAAGTGTTGTTGTTTTTTTGCAAGACAAATAAGATATGTGCAGTGTGCATAGGAATTCATTCTTCTTCTTTTTTTCAAATTATAATCTGGCCCTCCAACAGTTTGAGGGACTGTGACCTGGCCCTCTGTTTAAAAAGTTTGTGGACCCCTGTTCTAGAGGCATTTCTCCTGACATTTCGCCTGCATCTATGGCAAGCATCCTCATCACCTCACTACCTCTGAGGATGCTTGCCATAGATGCAGGCGAAATGTCAGGAGAAATGCCTCTAGAACATGGCTCTATAGCCCGAAAAAACCCACAAGAACCTAGTGATTCCAGCCATGAAAGCCTTCGACAATACATTATTTCGTATTGTTTCGTAATTGGTTCAAAATTGTTTCGTAATTGTTTCGTAATTGTTTCCGTATGTCTGGTGCAAGTTTTATAGTTGCTGTTTGTTTTATCAGTGATAAAAAATAAATTATCACACCAACAGTCAACAACAGAGGGAGAGGGAAGCTTCAGAAGTTCTCCCTGTCCCACTTGGAGGGTTTTTTTAGCATACTGCGCAATCGCATCCGCCATTAACGAATCGATTCATAATTTTGCGAAATTTTGTATATTTCGAGCTTTTTTAAAGGAAAATTTTGGAATTCTTTAAAAAAAATGAAACGCAAGGGCCCCCCTAAAAACGAAACAAGTTTAGAACCAAATTTTTATGTTGTTACCCAAGCCTAGTGATTAGATGTCCATGAAAATGAACAAAATCTGGCTACCAGTATTAAAAAAAACCTCTAAAATTACAACAGCACAACAATAGGGAGGAAACAAACAAAGACATCTAATCACCTCTCAACAAAAGTTTGCACTAGGCCAGGGGTCCTCAAACTTTTTAAACAGAGGGCCAGGTCACAGTCCCTCAACCTGTTGGAGGGCCAGATTATAATTTAAAAAGAAAACATGAATGAATTCCTATGCACACTGCACATATCTTATTTGCAGTTCAAAAAACACTTAAAAACAATACAAAATTAAAATGAAGAACCATTGTAACTTATTAGTATTTCAGTGGGAAGTGTGAGCCTGCTTTTGGCTGATGAGATAGGATTGTTGTTGTTGTGTGCTTTCAGACTTAGGTTGACCCTGAGCGAGGGCCGGGTAAATGACCTTGGAGGGCCATATCCGGCCCCCGGGCCATAGTTTGAGGACCCCTGCTCCAGGCACTGTCAGGCCATTATATGCTAATCAAGGTGGTCAGTTGAAACATTCACACCTAGCTCCAGCAGACAAGAGTCCTTTGTCTCACCCTGGTCATTCCACAGATATATAAACCCTTTTTCCTAGTTCCAACAGACCTCACTACCTCTGAGGATGCTTGCCATAGATGCAGGCGAAACGTCAGGAGAGAATGCCTCTAGAACATGGCCATATAGCCCAAAAAAACTACAACAACCCAGAGAAAGTGTTGGTTTCTAATATATCCAATTTCTTTCTGCTTGTGGGTAAAGAGTATTTCTTGCTGTTTCTTTGTCAGTGTTGATGTGGAGATTGTCTGATTTGCCTACTGTGGAACATGCAACATACAATTGTCCTTCTTGAGGGGTCCCTTTCAAATCGATGATACTATATCTGTGTGTGTATGAATAATATCTATCTATCTATATCAGGGGTCCTCAAACTAAGGCCCGGGGGCCGGATGCGGCCCTCTAAGGTCATTTACTCGGCCCTCGCTCAGGGTCAACCTAAGTCTGAAACGACTTGAAAGCACATAACAACAACAACAACAATCCTATCTCATCAGCCAAAAGCAGGCCCACATTTCCCACTGAAATACTAATAAGTGTATATTTGTTAACATTGTTCCTCATTTTAATTATTGTGTTGTTTTAAAGTATTTTTTACACTACAAATAAGATATGTGCAGTGTGCAAAGGAATTCATTCATATTTTTTTTCAAATTATAATCCTGCCCTCCAACAGTTTGAGGCACTGTGACCTGGGCCTCTGTTTAAAAAGTTTGTGGACCCCTGATCTATATCTATGGCTGGATGGCTCTTTGTCAGGAGGGCTTTGATTATGTGTTCTTGCCAGGCCTGTTCTTGCCAGGCCCCTCAAAATTTCAGGTTAAAAAAACCCCCTGGTTTACTCATGAATTTTTTTTTTGTATTAATCATCTTTATTATAGACTTTTTCAAATTACAATGAAAGAGGGGAAACAATAAGGTTGGGGGGGAAGAAGTAAGAAAATCTAGAGAAGAATTGGGGGGGAGCAATAACTGGGGGAAAGGATGTATAGGTTGAGGCAAAGAGGGGTTTTGGGGAGAGGAGTGTGGGGGAATAGGGGGAAAAGGAAGAGATAAAGGATTGAGATTTCTTCCGGTTCGATCCGCAGAGGGACAGTTTTGAATTGAGTTTTCTTTCTTTGAATTCCTTCACTAAATATTTCTGGTTCATTTTTTTCCCCTTCTTCTTATTTTATTTACTTTGGAGTTTCACTTCATTCTGCAAATATCTTCTAAGTGGATCCCAGTTAATTTGATTCTTTTTGTTTGCATTCTTCAATATTTGCGATAGTTTGTCCATATTCATATATTCAATTATCTTGAATATCCAGTCTTCTATTAGCGGGGGGTCCTTCCCCCCCCCCATTTTTGTGCCACTGTAATTCTTGCAGCAGCAGACAGATAAAGTAACATTTTCTCTTCAATTTTCCCATTTTGAAATTTATTACATTTATTAAATCTCTCCCTTTGGGGAGATGGTGGCGGGATACAAATAAAGATTATTATTATTATTATTATTATTATTATTATTATTATTATTAATTTGGGGATGTTGTGTATCCCTTGTCCAAAATGATTCCGATCAGAAGTGTTTTGGATGTGGAAATTTTTCTGATTTGGGAATGTTACATATCCTTTGCCTACAATGCTTTGGACCAGAAGTGTTTTGGTTTTCGGGCATTTTCAGATTTGAGAATATTGAGCATACCTTATCTAAAACGCTTGAGATCACAAGTGTTTTGGATTTGGGAGCAAATTAGGATACCTGTATTTGCATGTTCGTACATAATGAGATATCTTGGAGATAAGACCCAAGTCTAAACACGAAGCTCATTTATATTTCATAGACACATTAAACACATAGCTGAAGATAATTTTATACAATATCTTTAAATCACCTTTTTGCATGAAACTGAGTGCATGAAGCAAAATTTGCGTACACTGAACCATCAGAAAGTAAAGTTGTCACTATCTAAGGCCCCTACGTGGAGGATTTTGGAGCATTTCCGATTTTAGAATTCCTGGTAAGAGACGCTCCACCTGTATTTACATGTATACATAATGAGACATCTTGGAGATGGGACCCAAGTCTAAACATGAAATTCCTTGATGTTTCATGTGCATCTTATTCTACACATAGCCTGAAGTTAATTTTACACACAAGACTTCTAATAACTTTTATGCAAGAAACAA